GGAAGCATACTTTGTCAGGCTTCCCAACACGCGTCCAATATTGCTCGGCAAGGCCCAGTGGTTGAATGGTTCTGTGTTCTTCTGGTTTTGGCTACAATGTATGCGGGCATCGCATTGCGGTCCAGGTCGGGCGCAAAATTATACCGTCGTTATCCCAACCACCAGGGTGTTTTAAATTCTGAAGCACGGATGGGGATAAGCAACCCGTCCCGCCAATGTGGCTAATAAGGGAACGTTACTCGCTTCCTGCTCCGGGGTTAATGACAACTAAGACACAAGCTGAATTTCTGTTTGAGTTCTTCTACGGTTACGGAAATAAGATAGGAGCATTTATTGACTTCTTTACCACTGGTGGATATCTGCCTGGTTGACAAGGCCGGCAGGTTTCCAATAAGGGGGAAGAATGCACATCAAAGACTTACGGCAGGTAGCAGAAGGTCACGGGCCCACTGATCATTGCGTCTTCCTTCCATTGGTGGGGCATTGTCTTGGAGCTCCATGCCTTGCTCCATCAGAGCTTCATTAGTTGGGAGGCTCTCTACCAAACGGACTGGTTCCAGAGGGGGGTTGGAACCCAGGTTAAACCTGGGTTCCAAGGGCAGGTTTGGAAACCTGGATTAAACCTGGGTTCCGGAATCTGGGTTTTGAAACCCAGGTTTAAACTTGTTCAACCCAGGTTTGAACTCGGAATTTTGGTGGATGTCCTTCTCAGCCTCCATTGAACTTTTAAGAGCCAGCTCCGAACGATTTCACGCATTGTGTGTCTCTGAATTTTCATGTTTCTGCTGCGTGTATTTTCTTCATTTTTGAACCCCTTAAGCAATTTTGCGTGGCCTCTGCTTTTGTATCAAAGAACACGTTCTTTTCTGTAAATTTTCCGCTTTGTTTGGGTTGGAGTTGAAGAAAAATGGTTTTGGCGTCAAAGACGCAGAAAGTTTTTTGCAAACAGCGGAAGGGTTGGAGAGGCGCAGCCGCTTCCATTTTCATGTCTTCAATTCTGTTTTATTCGCGGTTAAGCCACCCAAAAATTTTTTGGCTTGACTGGGCTTCGTCGACCACGGCTGTAGCACTCGGTCCCTGCAAACAAGCAAACAACAAACTGAGCAAAAACACTACAAAGCGGTGAGACAGCAAAGCGAAGCTCTACAAAGGGCTGCTTCAGCACAACTTCGGAGACTCAGCGACCGATCCGGAGCAACAAAGAGCCGTCGCCCTGAGCTGCCCAACACAGCTCCGGCAGCCGTTCTAGTCTCGCCAGACAACGGACAGCCCCTGTGTTTTGTTCCGTCACGATCGTGCACACCAAAATCCAAAAGTCCAAAGCCCACTGTGGTGAGCGGCTTCCAGACATGATGCGGTGGCCAGAGTCGCAGCAACCGGCCGGTGATTCATACACACCCCGAAGGATAAAACCAAACGATTCTCGGCGTGCGAAACAGAGGCGACCCGGATGCCGGCGTCTAGCGGTCACCAGTCGCCGCCCACAGCGCAGGTGGCCGGGCAAGGATGTAGCCGTGGGGAAAAACTTGTTCCGTCCCGAAGGAACGGTGACCAGGTCACCCATGTCGAGCGTGCACACCGGACCTGGAGGACTCAATGGTGCATAGCGCCCGGAGCAGGAGTAGTATGCAGGAAGAAAAACCTCAACGACGCACGTCGGTTGCAACGGCTTCCACAAGAAAAGGCTTTATCAGTCAGAGATGACCCGACTTGCCTCAAGAGGTCCGTCACCACCAGACCACGCAATTTCAATGCCAAGTGCACTGGCAATCAAGCTGCACCTGCGGTGTTCAAAGACAACTTCAAGTGCGTCGCAACCGTGGTATCAACTCGGTGGATACACAAGAAAATTGGAGGCCAGGTCTGAGGCTCTCTTCCCCACAGAACTTCTCCACCGCAGCCTTCCAACGGTCTTGCGCTTTAGAGCCTGGCTATCTGCACAGTTGCTTTGAGAGGCGCTGAATTTGAGCGTGGCAGTCTGTTTGGGAGCTGCATCCAGGAACCTTTGCGAGGGCTTCGAAGCCTTTGAAGCTGAAAGGTTGAAGGGGACGGTGGGAAGGAAGCCGAACGGACGAAGGCTTGGCTTCAAAGCGGAGGACGAAGACTTCGAAGGCCAAGAAAAAAGAAGAAGCACGAAAATCGCTTTATGGTGGCTTTTGCGAAGAATAAAATGAGAAAAAGAAAAATTGAAAAGCAAAACGTAATTCGAAGCCTTCGAAGGGCAAGAACGAAGGAGACTTCAAAGGCTTTGAAGCGAAGGACGGAAAAAAAGCTTCGAAGCCTTCGAAGCCGAAAAACCGAAGGGCTTTGTCCCCTTCGAAGTCTTCGAAGCCTCCTTCGTCTTTGCGAAAAGTTTCGGACTCTTCGACGCGAAGGGAACTTCGAAACTCCCCTTCAACCTTCGAAGGCCTTACCCAATTCTATTTATTCTCTGAAGGGTGTGACTCCAGGGATTGCGGCATCCCCCAGTGCAGAAAACGAAGACCTGTTTTGTCTCTACTTTGTTTTGATTACTGTGGGGGTACTTTGATGTGTCCTACGTTTTTTGATGTTTTTGGGGCCCCGAAAATGGGCTCGTGAAGTGAAGCTCGTCGAAAGTGTTGCAGGGTTGGAAAGCCTTGGGTGGAGGCTGTAAGGGGCTGTTGGGAGGGACTCAGGAACACTTTCTGTTTCTCCTTTGTGAGTTTTAGAGAACTTTAGGTGTAGCTGTGAACGGTATGAGTTGGGAAAAGTTGTCTGTCTGTCGGTTGCTCACGCTTCCTGTCTCACCTTGCGGTGAAAGTGATCATTACCAGAAGCGTGTCCAACCGGAGTTTTCCTCACGAGTTTCACGAAGAATGGTGTTTCCCTGAACTTTCCTGAAGCATGATGAACATCAGAGTGTTTTCAGTTTGTTTACTGTGAGAACGGACTTCTAGACGAAGTCCGGGGAATACCTGGGCCGTGTAGCAGAGTTGCCAGTGCAGAGAAGCCGTTAGGAGTCCTTAGGACTTACCTCGGAAGTGAGTGTGCTGAAGTCTCTGTCCGCGCCCCGTTTCACTTTGGCTCAAGACTTGCACTGCGTGACAAGCGCGTGGTGAACAGTTGGTTGCGACGAAAGGTGTAAAAGTGCTGTTAGCTTTCACTGCTGTAGCCTTGCGTGACGTAGTCAGTCAGTCGGCTTGCACCTCCTTTTACTAAACCTAGAAGTGTGCCTCAAGGCGCGTTTGGGTTTTAACGTGGTAGCGGAGCTCAAGGTTGCTCCTCAGAGCCATGGACCCACGAGCCGAGCCTAGCCGCGACCGTTCCCCAAGAGGACGGAGTTCAGGGCGAAGTGCTAGTCGTGCCAGTGGAGTTTCTTCTGGCTTTCCCTCAACCCCTCGAGAGTTGAGTGCACCTGGCTCGCGGACTCGTGGAAGGTCCCTCCCTGCTCGGAACAGTCCGACAGCACACCGGCCTGTGAGTAGACCCAGACCTCTTGTGAGTGCAGGTCAAGTGCCTCAGGTGCCTTTTCCACAGGTACCTCAACAGGTTCCGTTGCAGCAGGGTTTTCAGCAGCAGCAGCAGCCTCAGTTTGGAACGCAACCAGCTTTCCCTCACGGAGGAGGGATTCCGCAGCAGGCAACTGTGCCTAGTCCAGAAGACAACACTGTCAACCTTTTCAGGCAGATGTTGCAAGCCCAGGATGAACAGATCCGAGCTCAGCAGGGCCAGATTTCGCAGCTCACCGAGATGGTGAAGACGCTCGCCGTTGCGAGTGCAAACGCTGCAAGTTCGGCCGCAAGTGCAGCTCCTGTTGCTGCAAGTTCGTCCCAAGGGACGCCCGCTGAAGCTCTTGGAAGCCTGGGTGCCATCAGAGTTGACTCTGATGGTGTTGTGAATATGGATGTGGACACAGGCTTGCGCAGCAACAGGGCGGAAAACTACATTCCGTCCCTGCCAAAGTTGGCAGCAGACAAGATGAGATCGCGCCATGAGGAAATCTCCACGTGGACCGCTTACCGCGAAGAACTGACCTCCTGGCTGTGTCTTTTAGACGACCGCTACGCGGAGGAACTGCAAGAGGCTGTGGAGAGCGGTGTTCAGGTTCAGCAGATCAGCCTCTCAAAGGGGAAGGCCGCTCGTTCCACTAAGCTGTGGTACCTCTTGAAGCAGGCTCTCGCTGGTTTTCAGCGAGGAGTTGACATAGCCAAGCTTGTCGAGTTGAGTCAAGGCGGTGCCGCTGCAGGGTACGACCTCTGGCGTGAGTTGAACAAAGAACTGTCTGTTAGGTCTCGTGTGGAGGGACAGGCGCTCAGAGAGCAGGCTCTCTTGATCGCGCCACCAAAGCACTTGAGACGGCCATTGGATATTTTTCGCCATATGATTTCTGATTTTGCTCGCTACCGCACGCTCGTTGCCAACAAGTACCCAGACCTTGAACTGCAGCAGGCTGATGTTATCAGCTGCATCTTGAAGCACCTTCATGATGATTGCAAGAAGTACCTTTTGTTGCATGGGTCTTTGACAACCTTGGAGCAGCTTGAGCGCGGTTTGGTTTTCTATGATGAGCAGCTTCGTGTTTTGAACTTTCACAAGGAAGCCTCGAACGCCAAGGGCTTTGCAGCTTTTGGCGCTGATCGTTCTGAGAAGGGTGAGCCCAAGGGTGGCGAGCCCAAAGGAAAAGGTCATGGAAAGGACCAAGGCAAGCATGGTGATAAAGGCAAAGGCAAGGACAAAGGAGGAAAGGGAAAGGACAAAGGCAAGGGTGGCAAGAAGGGCGGAAGAGCCCGATCTTCGACACCGGCTCCTGGGAAGAAGAAGCCGGGCACCTGCAATTACTGCCACAAGCCGGGCCATTGGGCCAACGAGTGCAGGAAGAGGATTGCCGATGAGAAGGCTGCTGCGACAGCAGCGGCGGCAACAGAGAGTGCCACTCCCAAGGTGGCCCCTCCTGCGCCTTCCTCGACTGCGGCGCCAGCCCCCACTGCTCCATGCCTCCCGTGCCGGAGCCGAGCACGGCCCCTAGCGTGGAAGCACAGGAGGAGGAGACGGACGAGGACGAGTGTTGGGGCAAGTGGAGACCAACGTCGAGCACCACAGCCTCCAACATTGCTCCTGGCTCGGGTGCGCCCGCAGCCAGCTCCCAGAGCGTCGTTATGCAGGGGAAAATTGCGGATCTAGCCCTGTTCAGGCAGCGAGCCAGCGAAAGGAGGCAGGGGGCAGGGGGTGTTGTCCGCGATACGTGGGGGACAGCAGCCTGTGACTCCACCGAAGGCCCCAGGCTCAACAGCTATGGTGCCAAGTACGCCCCCAAAGGGGCCAGCTACACCACCGAAGTCTCCGATTACACCACCAAAGGGGCCAACCACACCGCCAAAGAGTCCGCCAAAGAGTCCGCCAAAGGCCGCGCCAGCGCCGCCCAACATCTGGACAGCGCCACCTCCACCGAGGGCCGCTCCGAAGGCTGCCGCTCCAAAGGTTCCGAAAGCAGCGGTCCCAAAGCCGCCGAAGGGCCCGAAGGCAGCGATTCCAAAGCCGCCGAAGGGCACGACTACAACAACGCCGGCTCCTTTGACAACGCCGGCTCCTTTGACAACGCCGGCTCCTTTGGCAACGCCGGCTCCTGTGGCAACGCCGGCTCCTGTGGCAACGCCGGCTCCTATGACATCGCCGGCCCCTGTGGGAACGCCGGTGGCAACAACAACACCTCCGGTGACGACGGTGGATCCTGTGGTGCCGACGCGCCACATGCCTTTTTCGGCCATAGAAGGAGTGCGCCTCGGCTTCATGGACACGGAGGGTGCCACGACCTTCGCCCGCAGAGCGTCCCTTGCAAAAGCAGCAGCCTCAAACGAGAAGGGGAAGGCGCCGAGACCACCGGCGCCACCGCCGGCGCCCAAGGTGGAGAATACGCCGGAGCCTCCTCGAGTTCCAGCTCAAAGGTCGGTGCCCATACATTTTCCCATGCAGATGCAGGTTCCGATGCAGATTCCGGTGCCCATGCAGATGCACGTGCCTCCGCAGATCCCCATGGATTACCGCTACAGGCCCTATCCGGCCCGACCGACCACAACACCGAGGCCGAGTACAGTACCAGTGGCGCCGAGTTCAGCGCCGATGCCAACGCCCACAGCAGCGCCTTCTCTCCGGGCGCCATTTCCAACATCGAGGCCGTCGTTCATGCCGCCGGCAGCCACACCAAGGCCTACACCAAAGAAGATGATGCCGGCATCCAAGCATGCGCCAAAGCCACGGGCTCTGGTGGGCGTTCACTATACCATCGAGATGCCCACGCCAGAGGAAATACCAGTGGCGCCGCCGACCAGTTTGGCAACGGCAGCGAAACCGGCACCTTTGCCTCCGCCGCTTGTGGACCTCGAAGAGGTCGAGGAAATCAGCAGCGACAGCGACCTGTAACTTTAGCCGCTTTTGAGCAGCAGCCAAAAGAGAGAGTTCGTGAAGTTCTCTTGCAGAGTGCCGCTGTCAGAGAAGTGCTGCAGGTAGGTTGCCCAGCGTGTGTTCAGCTAGGTAGTCCAGCTTGCGTGCAGGTAGGTTGCCCAGCGTGTGTTCAGTTAGGTAGTCCAGCTTGCATGCAGGTAGGTTGCCCAGCTTGTGTTCCGGTAGGTAGTCTAGCTTGCTTGCAGGTAGGTCGTGCAGCCTGCGTGCCAGTAGGTAGTTCAGCGTGCATGTCGGTCGGTCGCCCATTGCTTGATTCAGGTGATGTGGGTGGTGCCATTGGTGTTGAAGAGCTAGAGCAGCTTTTTGATGATGATGGTGATGACCGTGAAGGGTTAGAGAGAACCACCCCGAACAACACCAAACCCCCGGTAGACCCTGAAGAAGCTCTCCCCGAAAACATCGGTGCCGAAGCTAGATTGCGCCACCAACGTCAGGGTCATACCCCCTACTGGGGTGGCTGTCCTAGCTGTGTAAGGTCTAAAGGGCTAGCGCCCGCCCGAACACGCAAAAGTGTCGACCCACTTGAGGTGCAGATGGATCAATACTGGTACCGAGGCATCCGTTTGATCGCTGTGGTGCACGTACCGACATATTGTATAGGGACAGCTGCGACTTGTGTGGGAGATAACCGAAAGGTCACGGTGGGTAAGCTAGTCAGATTCCTCAAATCATTCGGCCTTAAAGAGGTTCATGTTGTGCACGACGGGGAACCGCTTTTAGCAGCTATGGCAGCCGAGGTCGTTGAGATTACAGGTGGAAGTTCAGTTTCTACGAAAACCTCGCCTAACAGACACGCCCCGGTAGCTGAGAGAGCGATCCGAACGCTCAAAGAAACAGCTTTGGCCAACGAGCTTCATGCTAAGGGTGTGAGTGGCTTGAAATTGTTGGCAAATGAGGAAGCGATGGAATTGCTTCACAGCCACGCGGCTGCTTCACACAACCGGTTTGGAACGTCACAAGGTCAACTGTTGAGTCCTTTGCAGCGAGCTTTGGGTGAGAGTCACACGCCTCACTTGTTGTTTCCTTTCGCTTGCATCATGTACATTCAGCCCCCAGAACACCTTGCATCACAAGTTGATGGTCGATACGACATTGGTGCCTATCTCGGCCCCGTGATTGGTGGGCAAGGGCATCACTGCATGATCAGACTCTCAAATGGGTCTATGAAAAGATGCGTCGCCCGGGCTCTCAAGATGGCCTACCCAGTGACGTTCTCGTCGAACTTGTTACCCACTATCGCCGAGGCTAATCCTGATGAGCCTGATTATGAAAGCCTACCAGGGGTGGCCCTACCGAGGAAAGCAATCCCGTTGCCGCAACCGGCGCCTGAATGGCTTGAAAACAACAAAACGGCACGTTGTCCGGGATGCTTAGGTAGATCGCGCTTCCACTCTAGGCGTTGCAAAGTTCGCTTTCGTGATTACATCAGGGATACGCTCGGTGATCTTGACAATCCTGAACAGCAACAAGCCCCTGACAAGCCTCAAGTAAAAATCAACCCGAACCCTGAAGTTGTGGAGTTTGAAGAAGAGAGCTTGGACTACGAGCCCAGTCTTCCTGGGTCTCCTGTTCCTGAGGATCTGCAGCACCTGGTGCCCGAACCCTCACAAGCAGCCCAAGACTCTGAGCTCCCTCAGGAGTATCTCCCTGGTGGGGACGTTGAGATGGATCAGGTTGATATGGACGACTACACTGTGCCCATGGATGTTGCTCAGGTCCCGGATGTCCTTGACAGTACGAGCATGCCTCAGTTCATGTTCTCAGTGATTCCGGACCAGAAGCATCACCTGAGTCCTGTTGATTACGGTGAGGTCGGCTTGTTTGCTGCTCAGCTTAAGAGAAAAGCACCCGCTCAGCACAGTAACCCCGATGAGGGGGTAGCCATGCCTTTCGGTGATCGGGAGGTGTGGGTCATCAAGCCCACTTCTGTGGTTGATGATGTCAGTGGCTTGCCTTTGGATCCTGAGAAAACGTGGGTTGGCATGCAGAAAGAGGTGTCTGCTATGCACAACTTGGGTGTCGGCAACGCCCGCACCTATGATGAGATTAAGACCCACTGCCAGGAGACAGGTGCCAAGATCATTAAGTCGCGTTTTGTCTTCACTGACAAGGTTGATGTTGACGATCAGCACATTGTGCGTGCGCGCCTTGTTGCAAAAGACTTTGCTTTCAATCAACCTTCGGCGCTTGACTTGGGCATTGCGAGCCAGACTGCTTCTGTGGAGGCCTTCAAGGCTTTCATCTGTCGTGTTGTCCAGGATACGCTTGTCCTTTGGGGACTTGACGTTTCGACTGCCTTCTTGTATGCCAAGTTGGTTCTTGATACCGTGCTTGAGTTGCCGGGATGCTTTCAGAACCTTGATGGCTCTAAGGTTTACGTCATCCTGGAGAAAGCCATATATGGCTTGAGATCGGCAGGCCTTTCGTGGCAGAAGCATCTTGCTGGACTTCTTGCTGAGTTGGGATTGTTTCCTTCTCTTATTGAACCTACGTTGTACAAAGGGTATTGGGGAGACATCCTTGTGCTTTGTCTTGTGTACGTCGACGACATCTTGCTAGCCACAAGAACGAAAGAGGCAAACCAACAGCTTCTAGACTTCCTCATGGGCCGTCTTAAGGTCAAGTTGACTGGACGCTTGGATGAGGACGGCAGGATCGGATTCCTAGGCCGTGAGATAATCAAGCGTGGCCATGAGATCTTGTTGGCTGTGAAGAAAGAATACGTCGATTCGATCTTCGAGGCTTTTGGGTGGAGCCAGGAGAACCGCAGGAAGATGAAGCCCTGCACTGCACCACCAGACCTCCGATCGATCCTTGACAAGGAAGACCCCGAGAAGCCCTCCGAAGAGCTCTCCCCTGAAGCCGCGAGCCGCTTTAGAAGCACCCTAGGGAAACTAGGCTGGCTTGTGCAAACCAGGGGGGATTTGTGTTATTTTCACTCCATGCTGTCTAGAGGTCAAGCCTGTCCGCGCGCTGTGCATGAGGATTGTATGCGTAAAGTGCTCCGTTGGCTTTTGGAGGTTCCCGATCTTGTTCAGGTCTTTCAGAAGGACTCCAAAGCTCAACCTGGGACTGCAACCCTCGTTGGATTCAGCGACGCTAATTGGGCCTCTGAGCGCTCTACTGGACGGAAGAGCACCAGCGGAGGAGTGATTTACCTGAATGGGAATTGTATCAAGACTTACTCGAGGCTCCAGCCTATCGTAGCACTCTCCAGTGCGGAGTCTGAGCTTTTCGCTATGGTTGAGATGGCGCGCGAGCTTGTAGGATTGGGGCAGCTTTTGGGCCACCTTTTCGAAAGCGTTGCGCAACCCCTATACCTGCCTACGGACAGCTCTTCCGCTCGCCAAGTCAGTATGATGTCCGGCTTCCTGAGAAGGATGCGTCATGTGGACCTTCGTCTTTGCTACTTGCAGGATAAGGTTGAGAACGGCGAGATCCTGGTTACACACGTCCCAGGAACGGATAACGTCGCCGACTTGCAAACAAAGAACTTGAGTGTCGCGCAAACTTGGTATCATATAGGACAGTTGTGTCTTGAGGAACGTCTCACCCGTAGTGACTATCTTCGAGGTGATGCGCCCCCGGTCCGTTGCCTTGTGTTTGCCGCGTTCAAAGGTCTGTTTTCTGCAAGCGTCGATGATCCTTGGAGTGTGTTGGTTGGTCGTTGTCGGTTGCAGACACCGCATTACATTGTGATGGTCGAGTTCTGCACCTCTGGAGAAGCCTGGTTGACTAAGCTTGCTAGCCACTATGGCATCCATGCTATTCCCGTGACGGAAGAAACGGATGGGACTCTTCCGGAGACCATCGAGCTCATTGAGCATGCGCTTCGTTCGGCGCACCGTCGGAACATGCATGTTGTTGTGTGGGCTTCGACGCCCTGTACCGGTGGTTCGCCTTGGCAGCGCTATCACCAAGCCCGATCTGCAGATCACTATGATGAAAGGATGAAAGGACTCTTCACAGTCCACAGAAAGCTCTGGAAGAGCTTCTTGAAGCTAGTCAACACATCTGATTCGGCAACTTGGGTCATTGAGTGGCCGCAACGTTGTGCTTACTGGGGATGGTCCGCTACGAAGTCATTCCTTAAGATCAATCCGCATGAGACTGCTCTTGTGCATGGTTGTGCCTGCGGTATGGTTGGAATGGACGCACTTCCTGTGAAGAAGGTTTGGAGGTTGTGCTCGAACAGTCATGTTCTCATTCA